AAAGAATTCTTTGTTAATGCATGTTTGTGTATTGTGCGTATGCACATGTGTGCTCTTTTCTTTTAATTGTGAGGACAAGAGTTTGTCACTACAGTTAGTTAATTTGTATTTACTGAATTCTGGATGAACTTCTTTCTCACTCTAGCATTTTGTGATGTAGGACAGACAGCACTGGCTATGTCTGGGGGCCCTCAGGAATGTGGGGATCCTCTGGTGGAGGAAGCAGCTCTGGGGAGAGTGAAGGCCCCCATAGGCTCCCATGTTCAAACTGAGTTTTCCCCATGAAACAGCTTTCCGCACACTCCGTGTCCAAGATGCTGGAGCTGTCTGGTTGTTCTGCTAGTCATTCACCACGCTTGGCTTCCCTCTCAGCTTCTATGGGCAATGTCTGGTTTGGGATGGACGATCCCTATCTTCAAAGTCCTGAGATCAGGATGCTCATGCTTTAATGAACAACAAATAGCTTTGATGCCTGGCCAACGTGCAGGACTGATCATCACAAATGGAACATTATGTGGGGCTACCTGTTCTGCACTTTCAACCTTCGACTTTTGGTGTTCTAGTGGAGGCTCTGCCCTCCTTCTCTGACCGTTGATACCCATGTCCTTGTCCCAGCTTCAGGAGTGGTAAGATAAGTGTGGCAGTTAGGAGATGAATGATGTCTGCTTGTCCCTGCAGATTCACTGTGTCCCTAGCGCACACCCACAAGACACTAGATGTACCATTTCTAGTGAACAATGCAGCTCTGCCTCCTACCGCAGTCAGTTCTCAGGAGAATGAGACTAGAAACATGCATTGGCTCTTTTCTCACGGACAGTACTTAGTCATAGATTCTGTTGTACCAGGGCCCACTTTTGCTCAGAGTAGCTCAGCAATTTCCCACAGCAAAGGCAAGAACCAAAGACAGCACCAGGAATTTCTCCTCCCTGATCTACTCCATCAGTGGCACACACACAGCTTCCCTTTGTACCCCTTCTTTCTGGGCATTCAGCCCTTTTGAGTTTTTTTTTTTTTTTTGAGTGTTTATTAAAAACAATTTTATTAGGTTGTAACAGTTGTAGGGGGTTTTGTTGTGACATTTCCATATATGTGTACAAGGTACCCTAGTTTGATTCATCCCCTCCATTATTCTCCCTCTTCCTCCACCTTCTTAAAGTGACTTCAATAGGTTTCAATGTTCCATATTCATACATGTGTAGAAAATAGATCAGTCATATCTACCCTCCTTTATACTCTTCATTTACCCTCCCCACCTGCTAGTACCCTTCCCTTAACATGACCTGTTTTACATTCCGGTCCTTCATGGTTCGTCTTTTGACTGTAGAGTTTTCTCAGTGTTTTCACCACTAGCTTAAAAAATGAAAACTTGTAAGATAATAAGCCACTCTGTTCTATTCAGTGCATCAACTCCCTTCCTCTCTCTCTCTCTCTTTCTGTCTCTCTGTATCTCTCTCTTTCTCTCTCACACACACATACAGAGAGAGAGAAAGAGAGAAAGAGAGATTTCAAAACTTTCTCTAATAAAGAAACTGATGCTGGGGGTGGGGTGAAAAGGAGAATAATGGAGGGGGTGAATTCAAGTATGATATATTTGATACATTGTAAGAACCTTTGTAAATGCCACAATGTACCCTCATTCTCCCCCAACCCAGCACAACAATAAGGAAAATAATCTGATGCTCTGCTAATTAGAAGAGTTGAGAATGGAATCCTGATCTCTCAATTTCCAGGCTTTCAGATCGCTGCCTTTCTGTAGCTAGATTCCTGCAACAAAATGCTAACAGTGGTTATCATCAACTTAATATATTCAGGTGCTCACTTCTCTCTCATTGTTCCTTTTTCTTTTTAATTTTTTTTTTGTGGTACTGGGATTTGAACTCTCTCATTCTTTGTGTATTTGCCCAAATTTTTTATAAGTCTATATATTAGTTTTGCATTTGTTAGGATGAGCTAGCTGTTCTAACAAAGTGATAATTCCCATTCCTTAGCAGCAACAACAAAATGTATGCCTTATTCATGTGTTAGACTTTTTATCACTGTGACAAATATCTGAGAGAAATGATTTAAACAGGAAAGATTTATTTTGGCCCACAGTTTCATGAGTTTCAGTACAAGATCAGCTGGATTCATTGCTTTGGGCCTGAGGCAAGACAAAATAGCAGTGGGAGTTTATGGCAAAGTTGCTTACCTCATAGTGGCCAGGAAGCAAAGAGGAAGGAGTAACAAGAAGGGGCCAGGGCAAAGATATGCCTTTGAAAGGCATGCCCCCAGTGACCTACTTCTTCAAACTTGGGCCCCAGCTTCCACAGTTGCACCACCTCCCAATGATCTAAATAAATTTTGTATCCATTACTGGATTAAACCATTGATTAGGTAGAAGCCCCCATGATCTAATCATCTCCAGAAATGCCCTCCCCAACCCCCCTGACACATGTATGTTTTAATAATCTTCTAGTCATCCTCAATCCAATCACATTTACAAGATTAGTCATTACATCATATATAATACAAAATGAGTATTCCTGACATATAGGACTCTTACATGGAGTAACTCATAAACCTGTTCTTACATTTTGGTGCTCCTCCATGATTAACAACATATGACTTTTAAGTAAGCTGTGACATTCTGTATCAAGGCAAAAGAAAGGAAAGTAACATGGAATAGTAGGTGAGGGAAGATTTTATGGGCGAGACCAGAAAGTAGTATGTATCACTTCCATTAACATTCCATTGGCTAGAACTCAGTTGTGAGGTTACATCTAAATGCAAGGCACGATGGGAAATGCAGTCTGTCGGTATCCAAAAAAGAAAAGGGAATGAATTCTGTGAATTGCTATTCAGTCTATACCACACATGTTAAAAAAGAAAAAAAAAACAAAACCAAGGTTAAAATGGAATAAGGTAGGCAAGTCCCTCTGTAGGGCAAACTTAAACCCTCCTACAGCATTTTTACATTCAAATCTCCAAGCTTCCACTGGTAAAAAATAGCCTCCATCATCAAGATGTGGACAGATTGGATTTTCTTGCTACAACAGTTTCACCCTATCTGTGGAGAATACATTCTAAGGTTCCCAGTGAATGTCTGAAGTTGTGGATAATATCAAACCTTGTATATACTATGATTTTTCCTAACATACATATCCATGATAAATTTTAATTTACATATATAATAGAACATTATATATAACATGTAAGTATAGTAGTTATTATTCTTATATATAAATATACACTATATATGCAATATACAAGTGTAATAAGCATACAGTACGTGTAACATTACAGATATGTAACATCTGTGCATCTGTCTGTGCAATGCCTATAATATATTTGATATGTATAATATAATATCCATAGATGTAATATCTACAATGCTACCCTATTCAGCCTGGAAAAAAGAGCTTCTGTTATTTGTGACAATGTGGATGAACCTTGGGATACTATGTTAAGTCAAGTAAGCCAGATAAAGAAAGACAAATACTGCATTATCTTACTTATATGTGGAATCTAAAAAAAGTAGGATAAGTCCTAGCAATCTAATGTATAGTGTATTAATGATTATAGTTTATAATACTGTGCTGAATATTCAAAATTTGCTGAGAGAATACATCTTGTGTTCTCACCACAAAAAATGTGAGGCAGTATATGCTAATTAGCTTGGATATGTTAATAACTTCACAATGTATACATATATCAAAACAATACAGTGTATACCTTAATTATATACAATTTTTATTAAGAAAATTAATACTCTTGCCTTGGATGAAATTGCTCCTATGCAGCTGGCTGTTACCTGGTGCCTAGGACCCTTTGTGCCTATACATATTAGACACACAGCAAATGGTAATTAAAGAGAGACTAAAGTTGAAGTGTTAATTCACATTAAAACAGAAGCATCTCACTGGATTTACTTATCTCAACATACACATATCTGCATTTTAATAAGAAATTACACCTTAATGCTCCAAAATTGATCTCTGAAAATGGGCTTTCCAGGTTTATCTGCTCTCCAGTGGAGAGACTTAGGAACAGGTGAGTTTTCTTGGTGGTCCTTAATCTATTACAAAAAGGATGAAGAGGCCAAGTAGGAACTCAGTAAGAACTGAAACCCAAATGTTGTTGGTTGTGGTGGATCTAGCTGTAATTCTACCACTCATGAAACTGAGGTGGGAGGTTCATGAGTTCAAGGTCAGCCTGGACTTGGAAAACCCTGTCTCAAAAAAAAAAAATAAACAAACAAAAAACAGCCAGCCACTGGTGGCTCAAGCCTGTAATCATACCTACTCAGGAGGCAGAGATTAGGAGGATAACAGTTTGAAGCCATCCTGGGCAAATAGTTTGTGAGATCCTATCTCAAAAAAACCCATCACAAAAAAGGGCTGGAGGAGTGGCTCAAGGTGTAGGCCCAGTACCACAAAATAAACAAACAAATAAATAATAAATATAAATAAATAAAACAAAACTCTCAGGTGTTTATAAACTTCTATGTTCAGATAGAAAATATTTGCTCTCTGTTTGTGGCTCAAGAAATGAGTAAGGAATCTTAGAAGATGCATGAAGACTTGTGAGTTACCCAGTCTTCTGGGTAATCTCCATGCTCAGGCATCTCTCTCCTTTTCTGAGAACTGGACAGGAGGAGATGAAAGCAAGCAATGTGAAAGAAGACAAGTATTACCAGAAGCTCCTTCAGGGCCCCAAGCAAAACCCCTGAGAGTACACATTCCCACAGATGCATACTCAGACACATTCATCCTCCACCTTTGGCAGAAGTCAGTGTACTAGACTGGAATGAGACAATGAGACTCCCCTCACCCAAAGCGTAGGCTCTTGCCCAGAACTTTCCATTCTGTGGGAGAGCGCAGTGGGCAGAAGAGGATAATAAAAGTAGGTAGTAGTAAGCTCTGTATATATAGCCAAAAAGTTGATGAATCCATGAGGGAGAGGAGGACAGAGAAGTCCTGAATTTTGCTCTTCACTGTTTGGTCAGATAGACTTGCAACTTTATGGGAAAGTTTAATGGCCATTTTTACCCAGGGTTATATATTTTCTCTTATGGACTGTATCAAGCAATAGTGGTCTCCAAGGCCATGGTATTCAATGACTCACTCCAGTATTTTTCATGCCTTCCCAAAAATAAAGGGAGATGGGCCAAGCTGTGGAAAATATCCTATGGAAGCTTGTTGAAGATAGCGACTGGCTCCATGTTAGCAGTTTATGTGGTTTTCTGTCTTGATGATGGGATGGTGCTGATGAGTACACAGGTACCACCAAGGTTTGTCTACCCCAAAGAGTGGCAACACATCACCATGTTCAACCTCTTCAACCTCAGTGGCTGTGTAGATGTCATGAGCAGGAATGTGCTGCCTCAGAGGTGTGTGGTATTAGAAAAGGCTGCCATGGTTCTGAGCTTTTACGAGCTCCTGCTGCTGCTGGTGTCACATGCTAAGGACACATCAGGGGTGGAGCTACACGTTCATTCTCTGCTCATCTTGGTGGTGTCACTGCTGACCCTGGTGTTGACCGCACAACTGTGGGCTTCAAGGATGTTTCACCTCCAGCTCATGGAGGCCTTTCTGTTTCTGATGATGGGCTCCTGGCTGACGCAGGCGGGTTTTATTTTATAGACCAGTCTCTGGCTATCCATGGGAGGATGATGACATCGGTGACCTCAAGTTTGTCACCACTTTTTTCTGCTGGCATTTGATAATCAATGCCTTGTGCCTAATGGGAATCTATGGCTTCTCTTCCTTTTGGCATCGTTGCTACAGACCGACCTTGAAGCCAATGGGGTCCAAAGAAGCTTCCTACCACAAGAGCACTCCAGGACCCCTTTATAGGCTGCTGCAGGAAGGGGAGCAGCTAAAGAAAGATGACCAGGCTCTCCTCCTCCCAAAGAGCTCACCCTGTGACAGGGCCTAGAACGCCTGGCACATCCTCTGTCCCATCTTCTGCCCATGGTTCTCTCAGCTACATGTATGGCATGCTCTTTAGCCCCCAGGGAAGTTAATAACCCTGGAGGACACCAGTTAGTTCCAACTTTTGTCCTTGTTGCTAGTTGCTAAGGAGATAAGAGCTAACATAGATGGGCTTATGTAGATGAGGGGAAGTAAGAGAGGAAAAAGAGGTCAAGAGAGCAAGAAAGTGTGTAAAATATGGCCATGATAGAAAGAGAACAATAGTATGCCTTTGAAAAGCAAAGAAGACACTCCAGCAGGAATGCCATCACTAGTGGCTTCTCCAGGCTTTTAAGTGAGAAATAAAGCCTTCTTACAAGTCAAAACTACAATGGTGGGTATTCCTTGGCCAACTAAAGTCACACTACCATGTGAAAATAGCATAGACAGATAAAGTACAATTCACTTACTCCACTAGGATGAAATTATATGATGTGTGTGTGTGTCTATGTATATATGTACATAATTTGGGTGGATTAGCATAGTTTCAAAATTTACACACAAAGTAAGAATTAATCCTTTCATATCTCAGTTTTTCAAGCCTCCACAAGCCAAATTTTCACTAAATTCCTGATCTTAATTGAGCCAACACAAAATGCTTAGCACTTGTCTACTACCACTCCACCAGAATTAGATCCTAATTTAATCTATCCTACACTTAAGTCATTGCCAAATAACCCTCTCTACCCAACCCATTGCTAGTTATGATTTTTCTTCAAGCGTTTTTCTCTACCCCAGTCATAAGTCCCCTTATGTGGCTACCTCCAAAAGGTTCTCTTCCAGAAGACTCTCATATTCCTTGGATCTGCACCTGTTCAGGAACTCTTCCAAAACAGCTTTGTCATATTACTGAAGATACAGATACCGTCTTTGTCCTGTTTCTCATATTGTTGCTCTTGGAGAGGTCCTGCCTGACCAACTAAAAGATGAACTTTTCAAAAGCAAGGAATTTATCATATCCCAGTGACCGATTTACTCTCTGTGTTTTCCAGAATAATATAGCATTGCTTTTTACATAGACAATGCTTCATAAAGTCTTATTTGCTTCCAGAGACTCTGTTCCTGCCCCTCCTAAACACAGTGTCTGACTGCTCTGTAAATTCTAAGGAGATATTAACCGTATAAAGCATGAATCATAGTCCTTGTGTAAAATTAATTTTACCAATCTGTTTAAAATGGTTTACTCTATACATCATCATTTACCATTCCTCTATAAGGAATGCCATGTCATTAACATTCCATAAGTCTCCATTTTGCATAAAAACCAAAGACCTCAATAGGTACATCTGCCCAAAGACCTAGGACTGGTCAGAGACAGGGCAGCTAAGTTTGTAGGTCTGAAAGTTAAACCTTGCTTCTGTTCACTGATTCCACTGAATTCTCTGCAGAAAAAAGGATGTGACTGATTCAGAAAACAAAACTGGTAGAAAGTGGGCAGCAAGGAGACTTGGTGTGCAGGAGCAGAGTGGTGCAATTCTTTCTTGGCCTCCTAAAGAGTGCATGTACCTCATACTGTCTGAACCCCCAGTATCGCTTGGAGGGGCTGATGGGTCTCCACAGTCTTGGAACAGAGTTACTTTGTAGGCACAGGTCAGAGGGGAGCCAAGGACAAAACACTTCTTATCCTCCTTGTTTCTCCCACTATCCCAGTTCCTATGTTCTTCCCATTATTTTTCTTTAAGGCTCCCATTATTTTGTTGCCATTCTTGATGGATATAGTCATGAAAATGAAATAAATTCAGAACACACTTTCTTATTGCTCTTAAGTCATCTGTACTCTATCTCTAAGGTACTAAGTAAATCTCTGATAATTAGGGCTGGTGGAGTGGCTCGTGTTGTAGAACACCTACCTAGCAAGTGTAAGGCCCTGAGTTCAAGTCCCAGTACCACCAAAAAGAAATCTCTGATAATTAATAAAATTATCCTAACATTGTATTTCATAAACTAATTCTTTCAGGTAACATACTTGCATTTGCAGAATTATACTTAAATCCACTTCCAATAAGAATTTCCAATATAACTTTAACACAATTCAGCAAACCTATTCTAAAGTATATCTGTGAAGGAAATATAGCTAGGTTTTTTTTTACCCCCAAAGAGGAATAAAAAAGAAGAAAGAAGTTGTATTTCCAGCTTTTGCAATGCATTATGAAATTAATCCAAGAATTAAAATGGTGTGAGGTAGGGACATGCAAGTACCACAGGCACGCAAACCAACATAGTGTGGCATGACAATTCCAGAAAGAGAGATATGGCACATGAGATTTAAGCCATGTTAAAGATGGCCTCTTGAAGACCTGAGTTCAAACCCCAGTCCCACAAACAAACAAACAAACAAACAAACAATAAATAAGATGGGCTCTTCAATTAATACATGGACTAGCTTGTTCTCCACTTGGAAAGAGAAAAAAAAGTTGTTCTTATAGATGGGTTAAAAAGTTAAAAGTGAAGCTGGGTATGGTGGCTCATGGCTATAATCCCAGCACTCAGAAGGCTAAGGTAAGAGGATTGAGAGTTCCAGATCAGCAAGGGCCTAGAATTGAGATTCTAGCTCAAAAAAAAAAAAAAGAAAAATTAAGAATGAGAACAAGACTAAAAATTTTTTATGAGAAAATAATGGAAGCTGGGTGTTGGTGGCTCATGCCTATAATCCTATCTATTCAGGAGGCAGAGATCAGGAAGATAAAGGTCCAAAGCCAGCCTGAAAAAGTAGTTCATGAGATCCTATCTTGAAAAAACCCATCACAAACAAGGACTGGTGGAGTGACTCAGTTGTGGGCCCTGAGTTCAAACCCCAACACCACACACAAAAAAAGATACCTCAAATAAAAGACATAAAAAGCTTTCTTGAGCAGAACAAAAGTACTAAAAAGATTATACATTTTGTTTGGATTGTTTATGACTGAAAGTCATTATTAAAAAGAAAAAAGGGGCACTATGAAGAAACATATTCACCATTTGTAATAGGGAAAATAAAAAGTTGATACCCAAAATATACAGAGATGCTCAAACATTAACAAACAGAAAAACAACCTAATATAAGAAGGGAAAAAGATATAAATAGGTTTTAGAATAGACAGGGCTTAAGAACCGTAATATTGTCCTAACCGATTTTGAGGAAAGGCAGTTTCAATAAAGTGAAATCTTTTTTTTTCCCAATCTGGTGGTCAAAAATTGTCAAAAGTACTAAAGAAATGAATCAATTATGGGATAAGATGTAGGAAAGAGGGAATCATACACTATATACAGCAATGTAAATTGATCTACACTTTCTTGAAGTCAATTTGTCAAAA